CAGTCAGTCTCCTAGAGCTGAAGATTTTTGCCTTGTTGGAGTTGAACCAGAGGCTGTGTTTGGGGAGTGGCTCAGGCATTTCTTGTTTATCAACACCATCCTGATGAACTCATCCAAATCCCTATGCCTTGAGATTCTAACTAGAATTATATTATATACTAATCCCCAATAAAGAATGTGATACAGCCTTTCATTTGTTTAGAATCTTGCTTTTAAGGCCTTCAAAAAGATTTTACAGTTTTTCAGTTATGTCTTATGGCTCTCATTAGATTTATTCATAAGAAATTAACAATTTCATTGCTATTGTGTATGGAATATTTTTCCAGTATCTACTTCTCTACATGTATTGTACAAACCAGATATTACTTTTTATATACTCATCTCGTATCAACCAGCTTCCTAACTTCTTTTATTAATCCTTTTAGTTTTCTTTTATTAGGCCGATTTTGAATTCAAAGAGTTGTGTTGTTGGCAAAAACAAGATCGGGTCAGCTTTTCTTGTCCGATGTTCTGATTCTTTTCTTTTTTTTTTCCCTGATTGTATTGCAATTACTAGAGCTCCAAGACAAGGTTGACTAATAATGATGATGTCAGGCGTCCTGTGCATTTCAACAAGGACAACACGTGGGAGGGCACGAATTGAGTGTTTTTCCCTTTAGAATATTTGCTACTGGATCTTAGTAAATAGAGTTTATTATATATTTAAGCCGTTTTCAGTTTTATTTAGCATTTTAAATAAGAGTGCCTGCTGATTTTTATCAGATGACTTTTCAACATTGAATTATTTTATTAGATGGTTTTGTCTTTTTTTTTTTTTAAGATTTTATTTATTTATTTGACAGGCAGAGATCACAAGTAGGCAGACAGGCAGGCAGAGAGAGAGGAAGGGAAGCAAGCTCCCTGCTGAGCAGAGAGCCGGATGCGGGGCTCGATCCCAGGACCCTGAGATCATGACCTGAGCTGAAGGCAGAGGCTTAAACCACTGAGCCACCCAGGCGCCCCTGGTTTTGTCTTTTAATTTACTATAATGAATTACCTTGCCAGAGCTCCTGATTGTAAGCCAGATTTGCATTTGTGGAATACGGCACACACGGCCAGTGTCCCACTCTTGGTACGTGGCTGGGTTCTATTTACTAACAATTGGTCAAAAATTGGACAGCCATGGGGCACCTGAGCGGCTCAGTGGGTTAAGCCGCTGCCTTCAGCTCAGGTCATGATCTCAGGGTCCTGGGATCGAGCCCCGCATCGGGCTCTCTGCTCAGCAGGGAGCCTGCTTCCCTTCCTCTCTCTCTGCCTGCCTCTCTGCCTACTTGTGATCTCTCTCTGTCAAATAAATAAATAAAATCTTAAAAAAAAAAAAATTGGACAGCCGTATCCATGAGGGCAACTGACCGTAAGTTTTCTGTTTTTGTTGTGCCATATTGGAATTTAGTCTTCAAATTAGTGTGGCTTCGTTTAATACATTATGAAGGTTTAAATTATTTATCCGTTGCCTGAAAAAATTTAAATAGCACTAAAATCATTCCTTCTTTAGAGGTAAACAGAATGTGGCTGTGACCCCATCTGGTTCTTTTTCAGTGGCTAATGTTTGAACACAACTCTCTCTTATTATAGTCTATTCAAATCTCCACTTCTGGAAATCTTTTTTTTTTTTTAATCATTTTTTAAAATTTATTTTCAGCATAACAGTATTCATTGTTTTTGTACCACACCCAGTACTCCATGCAATCCGTGCCCTCTCTAATACCCACCACCTGGTTCCCCCAACCTCCCACCCCCCCCACCTCTTCAAACCCTTCCGATTGTTTTTCAGAGTCCGTAGTCTCTCATTGTTCACCTCCCCTTCCAATTTCTTTTTGCCAGAAAATCAACTGTTTTCTGTGAAATTCAAATGTACTTATATAGAGGTGGGTAAGTATTCTTGATCATTTTTATAATACCTTACAGCATCTCCTTTCTTTATTAATCAACTTTTAATTTCCTCTTCCTATTTTCTTTTGCTTTAACTTTTTGTTCTTTTTCTAATTTCTAAAAACTGATCTCTATATTAATTTACCTTTTTTTAAAAGATTTTATTTATTTATTTGGCAAACAGAGATCACAAGTAGGCAGAGAGACAGGCAGAGAAAGAGAGAGAAGCAGGCTCCCTGCCGAGCAGAGAGCCCAATGTGGAACTCGACCCCAGGACCCCAAGATCATGACCCAAGCGGAAGGCAGAGACTTTAACCCATTGAGCCACCCAGGAGCCCCTCCTTTACCTTTCTTATTTAATACTGAAATTTAAGGCTATACCTTTTATTTATTTTTAAAGATTTTATTTATTTATTTGACAGACAGAGATCACAAGTAGGCAGAGAGGCAGGCAGAGAGAGAGAGAGGAGGAAGCAGGCTCCCTGCTGAGCAGAGAGCCCGATGCAGGGCTCCATCCCAGGACCTTGGGATCATGACCTGAGTCGAAGGCAGAGGCTTTAACCCACTGAGCCACCAGGCACCCTTCTAGTTTACTTTTTTAAAAACTTTGTATTAGGGGCGCCTGGGTGTCTCAGTGGTTAAGCCTCTGCCTTCGGCTCAGGTCATGATCTCAGGGTTTTGCGATCAAGCCCCGCATTGGGCTCTCTGCTAGACAGGGAGCCTGCTTCCCTCTGTCTCTCTTTCTCTGCCTGCCTCTCGTCCTTCTTGTCTGTCAAATAAATAAATAAAATCTTAAAAAAAAAAAACACTTTGTATTAATTGGACAAAATTATGCTCATTTCTTCCTTCCTTTCCTTTCTCTGCCCAATTAAGTAGAGGAGATCATTGAACTTCCCCCAGATTTCATAATTAAACAAGTAAAATTCTATTTTATTTATATATTTTTTAAAGATTTTATTTATTTATTTGACAGTAAGAGAGAGAGAGAGAGCACAAGCAGGCAGAGTGGCAGGCAGAGGGAGAGAGAGAAGCAGGCTCCTTGCTAAGCAGGGAGCCCCATGAGGGACTTGATTCCAGGATGCTGGGATCATGACCTAAGCCGAGGGCAGATGCTTAACCGACTGAGCCACCCAGGCATCCCTAAAATTCCATTTTAAAAACAAGACACCAGCCATTCCTCTCCCTATTCCCATCCTTTCCCCTCAATAAGTTGAGGCAAGCTTAATACTTGCATTTCTTCATCTTTTCAGATGACATTTAGAAAGCTGCTACTTCCCAAACCCTGCCTGTCACCCTATTACTCCTAAATTTTTAGAGATAGTTTAATAGACTTCATCCCAGCTGATTACTTGAATTTCTCTTACAGTACATCTCTTCTATGCATAAACCCTTGCTAAGTTTTTATACCACACAATTTCACACCGTCTCTTATTTAACAGTGTGCCCTTTTAAAGGTCCACTGGTCAACACCATTTCCTCTTTTCTTTACACTCTCTCAACTTGAAATCTCTGTTCTGAGTCATTTGTTTTTGGACAAGGTTCTTTCTTGAGAATTTCCCTAAGGGACAGTACATTCTGATTCTTATCATATCCACAAATATCTTCCTTTTACGCTAACATGTTAATGAATCTTGGTTGAGTAGAGGATTTTTGGTTTAGTAGGGTTTTTTTGTTTTTTAATTTTTGATCAGTACATGTTATCCCACTGTCCATAGATTCCTGTGTTGCAGATTAAAAGTCTGATGCCATTTTGATTATTTTTCATGTGTAACTGTCTGGTTCTTTCTTTTTTTTTAGTTTTTTTTTTTTCCTGTGTTTTCTTTCAAATCTCAGCATCAGCCATCCTTTCCTTCAGTTCATTTGCTGAACATTTTAATTAAAAAAAAAAATCACACTTTTATAAGGACAGCTGGGTGGCTCAGTCTATTAAGCGTCTGCCTTCAGCTCAGGTCACGATCCCAGGATCCTGGGATTGAGTCCTGCATCGGGCTCCTGGCCCAGCAGGGAGCCTGCTTCTCCCTCTGCCTCCTGCTCCCCCTGCTTGTGCTCTCCCCGCCACCGACAAATAAACAAAATCCTTAAAAAAATAAATAAAAATCACATTTTTATCATTGTGATTAGATGGTACAATGCCCATATGTTTTAGAGAACTGGATTTAAGTTACTTTTGCAAAGTAGAAAAGTAGATAAAGCAAGGGTTAAATTTGGGTTAGAAGAGAGCAAGTATGTATTTTTTTGAGCTGTATCCTGAAGTATGAAGGTGATAGGACTTGGTGTCTGGAATGGGCTTTAAAATACTTAGTAGGGAAGAAAAGGAGATAGATTTTGCCTGTGGCAAAATCTTTCTACTTGCTGAATCTGGGTGACGGCGTGTGGGAATTCACGGTACTTTCTATGTGTAAGTATTCATCTTAAGCCTCAATAGTATTTTAGTTCCTCATTTTTTGTGCTGTTCTTACATCTTGCTGGGCAGTGTTATTAATTTTTTGCTCCTGCTGCGGTGCGATGGCTAACTGAGCCAAGTCCAGGAAGAGTGACACCAGAAAGCGTTTTAGGGGATGAAAAACACTTGGGCATTGCTGGAGCATAAGGTGTGAGCCAGAGAGAAGTCAGTCATGAAGACAGCACCTTAGGTAAGAGCTAGTTAACGGACAGCCTTGCAGGCTGGAGTCAGTGACATTGACCCTCCATTTCCTATCCCCCCCGGCTACCTGAGTTCATCAGCAGGGGCAGAGGAAGCCCAGGGACAGCTTCCTACCTCAAGCCTATGTACGTTTCACTTTTTCTCTGCTTCGAGCTTGGGCATCACAGCAGTTTGCTCAGGTGGAGGCAGGGGTACCAGAAGTGGAAGATGCAGGGATCTCTCCTCTTCCAGTACTGGACTGGTCACAATGGGTCAGACCCCAGACTTCCGTCCTCCGGTGGGATGACTCTAAGGCACATTCTGTGTACTGCTCCAGAGAACTCATGGGCTGGAGTCCCATTTGCCACAGTGACAGACGGCTTATTCCCTCCCTCCCTGGTGTTTCCTAGGATTACTTCCCCCCCCCCAAAAAAGTATGTGGTGATTTCACGATAGATTCACGAATTCTTTGGCATGCCTTCCTTCCAAAGGTGGAGCTAATTTCCCTCCCCTTGAGGGCAGTGGCTTTTGTCACTATATCTAATGACTAGAATGTCGTAGTAATCACAAGGTATGTCTTCAAGTCTAGCTCACACAAGACAGAACAACTTCGACTTGCTTCTCCTGGATCCTTTGCTCTGGGGGAAGCTACTGGCCATGCTATGAGGACATGTGAGCCGCCCTATTGAGAGGTCCAGACTGTGGGGCAGAACTGAGGCTTCTTGACAACACCTGTGTGCACGAGCCATCTTGGAAATGGGTTCTCTGACCCCGGTCAAGCCTTCAGATAGACTGTAGCCTCTGTGAGAGATCTTGAGGCAGAATCATTTAGCTAATCCACTCCCAACTCCCTGACCCACAGTAAAGGTAGGAAATAACCAGCATTTATTAGTGCTTTAAGCTAACTTGGGGGGGGTAATTTGTTATATGACAATAGTTAATTAAAATATAGATTCTGCTTTGGGGTAAGACATGGGAGGCTTCAGGACCTAATCCTCTAGGTGTAGGAAGTTGCAAAAGGATTTTAAGGGGGAACCCCCCAGCTCCAACGAGCAGATCCCAACTTGGGTCTTTTCCCTCTTCAGGGGGCCCACTCTCACCCATGGCCGCGGCTTACGTTATCTTCCAACGTGGCATGCGCAAATTGGATCTCTTCAAAAGGAAACCTTTCTGACTGTTCTCTTGACTCTGAGACCCATTAGGATTTTCGGGGTCCTCTCTAGTCTAGGCTGGCCAGGGGATGACTTTATTCCAACCCTGGATCACAGATAAAGCTCCTCTGTAGGCCGCCCCCCCTCAGCTTCCGCCCCCGCACCAGCTCCAGAGCGCAGGGCCACGGTGTGGTGCCTGAGGGTCCGGGAGCCTGTCTGACTGTGTTTGCAGACCCCCGGCTGCTCCTGCTTCTCCATGGCTGACGTCCAGGTGCTCTTTTCTCTCACCCCAGAGCCCTGAAACCGCCTCTCTCAGACGAGAGGTCTGAAGACTCTGCGTCCTTGAGTGGGAGGCTTCCCCCAGAACAGAAGCCGTGTCACACATCCCCACCCCCTTCTTCTCTAGGTGACCTGGGACACGAGTTCCTGAAACGGTCTCCTGAGGTGGCCACGCTCACCTTGCCATCCCAGGTGGTGTCCATGGTTCCCAGACACCGTAAAAGTCTCTCCTGCCAACACCTGTAGACATATTGCGGGGAGGAAGGCGGCCTTTCTGGGCACCCCATGTGAGGGACAGAACGATGGCCTTCCCTGCCATGGGAGAGGCTGTCAGTGTCCACCCGCGTTCTCTAGGCACAGACACTCACTCGACCAATGCTGCTTTCAATGGGAAGCTTTCAAGCAAACAGGAAGTGCCCGGGGACAACACCCACAGGAGAAGCTCTCAGCCAATGGCTGAAGAGTATCAGTGACCAGCTGCCTCATCCACTGGGTGGATGGCTGAGGTATGCTCTACACTCTCTCCCAGAATCCCCAGCAAGACTGAGCCCCAGTTCCCCACAGTGGTACTGGGCTCCACAGGCCCCGGGTTGGTGTCCTTCACTCCCCCACTCCCCACCTCCCACCCAGGCAACCTGCACTGGCATCTGTGTCTTGGGACCTACATTGGAGGGGACCCAAATCTGACACCCACCTGCGGTTATCACTGAACTTCACAGGTGCCTCATGCTGGAAGTGGGGAAAGGAAGAGGTTGTATAGTGCTCTGAAGCTTCTACAAATAACGTTCTCAAAAACCAAACTAGAACAAAAATCCCCTGTCCAGCCCCATGCAGAATTTTTCTTCTTTCAGCTTCTCTGAAGCTGACAGAGAATTGTCCTCTCATGCGGCAGCTTGGTGTCCCTTCCACTTAGTCACCTGGGGTCTCATGTCTTCAGGGGTCTGTGTCAGGGTGTGGGATCGGGGAGAGGAGAACAGATCTCCCATGGCATCACAGATTATGGCCACAAGCAAAAACCCTCTGGTAGACTTTGGTAAGCCGATGACTGGCCATTCTAAACCTTCACCCAGACCTCATCTCCAAGTTCCTGACCCTAGAGCCAACTGCTTACTTGACATAGCCACAGGATGTGCCTCAAACCAGAGACATCCCCGTCCCTCTCCACCAAAGACGCTTCTCTTCCAGCTTGTGATTCCTCTACTCTCTGGTCTCCTGGACCCAGGCTGTCACCTGTGAGTCCTGCCCCGCCACCACCTCCTGAATCGATCGTCTCCTCTGCACCCCCGCCGTTACCCCATCACACGATTAGGGCTATGTGGTGTTACCACTGGTAACACTGCAACGTGGTTGCATCTGAGTCTGCCCAGAATCCACAACCTTTGACAAATGACTGTGGTTTTTCTCACTAGCGGTGCAGTGTTCTTCCCATGCTTTGGCTTTGGCCTTGGCCATGTGACCCACTTTGGCCAACGAGATGTTTTAAAGACTTGAAATGTGCTGGTGGGGCAAGATGAGTTCTCTCGTGCCTCGACCATCACGATGAGGAGAACATACCGTGGCGAGCATACTGGTCTCTGGAAGGGGAGAGAACGCCAAGCAGAGCTTGAGGTCTGCAGCATGAAGCAGAGCTGTCCCAACGGCCCCCCCACAAAGGGTAAGTGTTTTCAATCCTGAGTTTTAGGGCTGTGTGTCGCACTGCGGTATGTAGCCCTAGAAGACTGACACCCCTCTGTAGTAAACCATCACAATTTTATTCCTTCATTGACGTAATAACCTCTTGGCTGGTTTCCAGGTTCTAACCTTACCCCTTGCTAATCCATTCTCCTAATGGTAGCCTGAATACAGAAGCACCAGCCTGTCCTCGAGTTCTCTGCCATGTTCCCTGTTTCATGGCTTCGACTCATGACTTTTCTGATCTCTCAACAATTTTCTTTCAGATATTACCTCACCGTCTCCCACTAGGGAGGTGAGGTCCATGGTGCTACGAAATTCATGATTTACGGTTCTCACTGCCAACATGGGTGAAACCCAAGCTCCTCACTGTGGCCTGCGGTGCGAGGCCTGACCGGCGCCTCACCTGTGCCCATCTCCCCGCGCCCTCTCCTTGCTCCTCCACACACTACTTTCGCCATTCCCTCATGACCAAAGCCAGCCGGCAGGACGCTGGACCTTCCTCTTGCCTGGCCACTCAGCGGCTTCCAGATCCTCCTTGCCCTCCCTTCCCTGGGCGTGGGTCTGGGGAGGAAGAGGTTAAAGTTGTTGGAAGGCCTGGGCAGCCCAGGCCTGTTCTTAATCAGGGCCCAGCAGGAAGGCGTGGGGCTGCTGGCTGGGTCCTGGGAAGTCTCCACAGCAGAGCGATTAGGTGCGGTGAAGGAGAGAACATGCTGAAGGTTCGTCTCTGCGCACAGCGGAGGTTGGGGCGGTCAAGGCCTCAAAGTGGTAAAGCCCTGAGAGTTGGCTTTGTGGCTGTGGAGACTCGGCCAGCTCCGGGTGGAGGGTCAGCGTCTCACACAGGCCGGGAGAGGCCCATGGACTGCTCCTGCTGGCTGAGCTGTCCTGCCCTCCCCTCCTTGGCTCCTTCCAGACGTTTCTTGGCCCGGGAAGCATGCTGGTCCTCCAAGAAACTCCCCGCAGCTGGCTCCTCTCGGCTGGTCTGCCTCTCCGAGAGAGAGGTGGCGTTGGCTCTCCGTCCGGCCCTGCAGTTTGAACAGTGTTCAGGCGGAGGCCCGGGGGAGCTGTGTTCCTGAGACGCCACAGGAGCCAGGGATCTCAACTCGTCCTGAACTTTGTTTCTTGGCTGCACAAATGGAACATAAAACACGTCTCACCTTCCACCTTCTGTTCCAGCCACCCCAGACCACACACGGCCTCTGACATGGGCAGGCTTTTCGTGGCTTTGAGCCTACTACAGCTCTGCCCGGAATAGCCTTTGCTACCCAAGGAACTTCTGGTTGCCCTTTAAGGCTCAATCCAGATGTTACCTCCTTCCTGAAGTTCCCCCTTTCCTATATACCCAGTCCTCTTTCTAGGTGCTTCCACGGAGCTCCTGAAACTATCAGATCAGGGGCCTCTCCCATTAGGGTTCCTTTGGAGCACCTGACCCCTTATTAAAACTGAACCTGGCCTAAGGCCTGGTTCTGGACTTAGAGCCAACTCCTGAGGTCAGTGCTGCTGGTCCCTGGGCCACAGTCCAGGAAGCAAAGATTTAAAGCATTTATCTCATTCTCTCGCTTATCTGACAAGCCACACGTGATACGGTTTGAAAAAAATACAACTTACCCTCTCCTTTGAACTCCCATTCAGGTAGTAGCAGAAAACATGCTGGTTAATTTCTGGTAAATTTGCTCATTCCAGGTTAAATTATTTCTAAAATTAATGGTTAATTCTAAAATTTTCCTTTCTGTCTGCCCGCCACCCCCCTCCCCTTCTCTCTAGGGTCTCATCTCAGTTTTGCTGCAAATGCTGCTGCTGCCAGTGGTGGTGGGGGGTGGGGGGCTTGTGCGGCGTCTTGGCAGCTGGGGCCTGGGGGAGGCATCTGAGGCTGGGTGGGTGTCCTGCTGGTTGTGGGTAGCTCACCCTTCCACTCCGGCTCCCCCAAGATGTCTGAGCTCCCATATGGTCCTCGGCATGGCCCAGACCACCGCCTTTTTGTGGGTCCCCTTGTCCTGAGCTACCCTCAGGTCCCTCAGCTTTTCCCATCTGGCTTCCATGCCCTTCTCTGGGGTGAGGAGAATGTCAGTCGTCTCCCACACCCCGCTCCAGCGGCGCCAGAAGCTTTCTGTACCTGCCTAGGTCCCTCCCTTGACCTAGGCAGACCCCAGGTCACGGGTACCAGCTTACTGCAGGCGCCTGGCGGAGTTCCTTCCCACTTTCAGGTCCCAAACTGATCCAGAAATCTGAGGGCCTTCTTGTCCACTCCCCCAACCTTCTGGATCTAACCCTAGAGAGGAGGCAGACTGTGGACCCCTCAGAAATCCCCACCAGCTACTAACTGACTTGCTTCATGGCCTGCTCACTCTCCCTCCCACCTCCCTGCCTCCCATAGGGCTACGTTTACTTTGTAATTTTTTTACTACTTAATATATGCATATTAAACAAGTAATTCACATAGTACAAAAGCACTCAAATTGTTACACAGTTTATTTACTTTTCTTATCTAAGACAATGTTGTTCAAGTCTCTATCATAGTGATGGCAAATCCCCATGCCTCCACTCTGCTTCATCTCTCCCCCTCCCCTCTTCTCCCCTCCCCTCCCTTCCCCTCCTCTTCACTCCCCTCCTTTCATTCTCCCTTCCCCACCACTCCCCTCCTGTCTCCTCTCTCCTCCCCTCTCCTCTCCTCTCCTCTCCTCAGTTCCGGTTGATTGTTACTATTGGTTCTGGGGCTTTATTTCTCCGTGGGGATGAATTAATGTGTTTCTGGGAGACAGATCTTCTTTGTGTGAGACGGGTGAGCACTTTGCACTTGCTCCTAAGCTTTGATCCCAACCCACAGGAAGGCGTGAGTGCTGCTGAAGCTCCGGGACCACCAAAGATGCAGACACTGCCCCTGGCTGAAACCTGCCTTCAGTGGACCCTTGGACACCCCTCCCCATAACTCTATTACCTGGGCTGTCTGCTTGCAACATCTTTTTTCATTCCCTTGCTATAAAAAATGGAGAAATCAGGATACTTAACAACTGCTTACCTCCCTTGGTTTTATGGTTTTTGTATCATAATGGGGTATAACATTTATGTGGTTTTTGGAACCATAATTCCAAAAGTTGTCTTAATTTTAATCCCAAACATTAGTACATTCAGTGATCTCTTCGGATGCCTTTCCCCCTGTTTCTTGATCCATTTGCTTACCAGGCTTTATCTTTCTTCAAGTATTTTCTTCAAGATGGCTGAAGTTGTGTCGATTTGAAATATTATTGTGTTTTATATTTGGATTACAGTTTGAGTTGATGTAAAAATTCTTGGGTCAGGTTTTCTTTCTCTGTGGACGCCATGGTGTTGTAAGAGGTACCCGACTGCTTCATTGTTTTCTAGCTTGGAATAGCTGTGCTGTTGTTTGTAGCCAGCCTGACCTTTCTTCCCCCAAAGGTTGATTGATCGATCGATTATTTATTTGTTTATTTATTTATGAGAGAGCACAAGCAGGGGGAGCAACAGAGGGGGAGGGAGAAACAGCCCCTGCTGAGCAGGGAGCCGGATGTGGGACTCAATGCTGGGACCTTGGGATCATGACCTGAGCTGAAGGCAGATCCGTAACCCACTGAGCCACCCAGGTGCCCTGATTTTTTTTTTTTTTTTTTTCCAAATGGGTGATTTGACTTTACTGCTGGGTAACTAAAAGAATCTTTATCTTTGAAGTACAGTAACATTATTAGGATGTGTTGGTGTTGGCTGGTCTAGTCCTTTAGCAATTCATTCAATCAATGTTTATTGGGACTCTCCGGTGCCAGGCACGATTTTAAACGTGGGGGACACAGCAGTGAACAAAAAGGACAAGAACCCCTGTTCCTACATTTCATGAAACTTTCATTTTGGTGAAAAACTTAGGAAAGAAAACTCTACCCATTTTCTCAGAACATAGTATGCCCTTTAAATCTGTAAACTCAAGTTTTTTGTTTAGGGAAGTTTTCTCAATTCATATATTTGAATGCCAGCATACATGTGTTGGAATCCTTTGTTTTTGTTCCATATTTGTTATTCTCTCCCTTTTAAAATTCACTGTTTTGGCTTCTAAAGTATTTTTTTTATCTTTCGGGGGGGCGGTACAGAGGGAGAGAGAATCTTAAGCAGGCTCCATGCCTGTGCGGAGACCAACTTGGGGTTCGATCTCACAACCCTGAGATCATGACCTGAGCCGAAATGAAGAGTTGGACACTTCACCAACTGAGCCACCCAGCTGCCCCTAAAACTCATTGTTATTGTCCATGTTATGGTGCTCATTTTTCTGGAATTCATCTCTGATGTTTGAAGCTAAATTTTTCCCTTTTTTTTTTTAGTGCTTCTCTACGCCCTTCATTACTGTGATGATTTTATGTTTCTCTTCCACTTTTTTTCCTAAGTCCTGACAGCTTATATTTCTCCTCTTCCCTTTGTCTTAATTTTTTTCTTGTGTGCTTATAACTTTTCTTTGAATTATTGTTTATAGGTGATTCTTTCATTAAGTTATTGAATTTATGAGAAAATCTTTGTCACAACTTATCTATCCAAGACAAAGTCTTTCTCAAGTGGGAGTAAGGGGTCTCTCTCTCTGGCTCTTTAGAAAGCTCTAGACAACAATATAGAATACTAACAGTAATATATATTAACAGTAGTATGAACAGTAATACATATTTACTTCTTACACTACACTATAGTAACTTGACAGGCTTTTGTCTCCTGATTGTTGAAAGCACTTCTGGCATTGTTCCTATTTATTGAATATTTGCTGTGACCAACAGAGGCTTCTACATCACAATGGAGGAGAAAATGGGAGTGTGGGATAGGAAGGGAAGATAGGGGAGTGAGGGCAGGGTGCAAGGCCAACTTCTGCTGACTTCACAATTTTTCCAGGAGTGGGTGGGTGTTGTGTTCTCACCCCAAGAATTCTGAGGTGATGCTTCTGTTGCTTCCAATGCCCAGCCCCTAGAGATTACAAAGAAGCAATAACCTGACTTTCTCTACTCTCACCCCCGGACATATACCAACCTCAGTTTCCTCATTCAGTTTTAGTTTTTAAGTGAGGCTAGCAGAGTCAGGACCCAGTAGTTGTCATTCTCTACCTGGTCTGGGCTGCTGCGGAGGCAGAAAGCACAAAGGCTGAGAGACACTTTTGATAGACTGCCTAGATTCATATCCTAGCTCTGACTCTTGTTGCTATGATCTTGGGCAAGTTATCCAACCACTCTTTGCCTCAGTTTCCTTTTCTGTAAGAATGAAGATAATAATAATACCACCTACCAGGGCTATATGAGAATTAAATGAGCTAAAACTTGTGGCAAGTATTGTGGCAAATAACGTGATAGGATTAATTTTTTCATTTCCTTCATTCACAGATATGTGTCGAGCACTCTCAATATGGCTGTTGGAGAAGAACTGATAAACTGACAAGACGCCATCTTGGCTGTTGGGCTGGTTGACCTGAGGAGGTGCTCACTGTAGATACATTTTGAAATGTTGCTGTGAGATCACTGAAGAAGTGACAGAGTGGGTGAGGAAAGGCTCTTCAGGGAGGGCTTCCTGAAAGAAGGGGCACTGGAGCCAAGTTTTGGAGAATGAGCAGTCATCAAGAGTAGGTCCAGATATGGGAAGGGCTTTAAGTAGAGTTCTAATTGGATTATGGAACTAAGGGGATGCAGCAGATGCTATGATTGACTGATCTTTTACTTGGATTGCATGTTTCAGTTGGGAAGATGAAAGGTGGAGGGCACTGATCGACATTACATCAAGGGTAATGAGAGAAAGAGTCCAGCAGAGAGGGGGAGGAAAGAGTATCCAGGAGAAAGGGAACGCTCAAGCCAGTTAATGGAGGTGTGAGAAGGCACGGCACATTCAGGGAACCCGCCACCCAGGATCTCTCAAGAATGCCCAGGGGCCAGGGTTCCATGGACAGGGATCATCCCACCTGACCATGGACCTGAGCTAACAGAGATGAAAGGGCCAACAGGTGGGAGATGAACAGACTATGTGACCGGTCAGATAGAGACTCCAAGCAAGCACTTTCCACCTCTGCCCATTTCTTCCTTTTCTGAGATCACTAACCCATTCTACCTGCCCACCTTACCCTGCTGCAAGCCACAGCGGATGATGCCCAGAGACTGTATGAGCTGATGGTGGGCACAGGATCTCTAAGTACATGTAGACTTAGGGATCAAGACTGCCATCTGGGGAGAAGTTAGAGCAGATATGAGGAGAGAAGGCAATACAAGAAGCAGGGAAGAAGAAAGGGAGGGAGAGAGGGAGACAGAGAGATGGGGGGCAAGAATGAGAGGAGATTGTAGGTCACAGTCTAGCCCTCTTGATGCTGGCTCACTTCCTTCCCATGAGTTCTACAAGGAATTTAATTCCTTAAAGTCAGTCTCTCTTTACTTAGGCTGGCTCAGAGGGCTTCTGTTTCTTGTAATCAGAGGGTGCAGTGAGTTGGTTTCTCTAAGTCTCGATTTCTGAGCCCACCAAATGCATTATTGGACAAGATGTTGTTTAATGTTTTCTTTTCTTTTTTTTTTTTAGCTCCTTGATTTTGATATTTCTTTTATTTCACCATGCCTAACATGGTCCCTTGCACACCACAGATGTCTCGTAAATATCTATCAACATAATTTTGAATGTGTACTGCATTATGACAGGATAACATTTTCACACCAAGTAATTAGTATTACAATACATCCATGAATGGAGGGGGAGCTTTGATGGAATGTAACCTTGGGGGTCAAAGAAACTTGAATAGATGGCTAGAAAAATTATATGAAATCTCCTATCTAATCTGAAACACAGTTCAGTTACCAAATTCTGTTTATTTATTTATTTTTTTTTAAATTGTATTTATTTATTTGAGAGAGAGCAAGCTAGAGAGAGAGCGTGAGCAAAAGCTGGGGGAGGTGCAGAGGGAGAAGCAGATTTTATCACTGAGCAACGAGCCGGATGTGGGGCTCCATGTGGGGCTCAATCCCACGACGCTGAGACCATGACCTGAGCTGAAGACAGACACTTAACTGACTGAGCCACCCAAGCACCCCACCAAATTCTGTTTATAAGCACTTTGTTTAGGGGGATAGCTGTGCAGAGAATTTTTGACTTACGTTTCTCTACCAATACTTATTGGGAAAAGTTGCATATTTGCAAGGAATGAACTGACTCTAAGCTATATACTTTGAGTCCTTCACTTTCCTTTTTCCCCCTCTCACCATCCCCCATCTGCACTTGAAGTGGAGGAGGGAAAAATCCAGGAAAGGCAGGTCTCATCTCTGGGGCCGGAGACTGGCACACCTGAGTCTTCTTAGGTGCCAACTGTATGAGAGCTTTAATCTGCCCTCCCATCTGCAAGGATGAGTCCAAACACTGTATTGTATAAATATTTAAGATGCTATGGAAATTTCTTAGTGGTGGATAAAGTGGACGCTTTTAATTAAGAAAGCCCTTCTCCATGACAGATAAAGCTGTGGGGTTCAGTGACAAAGTCTTTGTTACTCAAATTTCCCTACATCACTCCACTTTATGAGAACAAATGGTCCCATCAGCAGCCATAAACAGAAATTTCATCAGCTCACTGAGACTTCGGCCATCCATACTTCCATACTGGTTTTGGAGGTGGGGGTCCCTGTGGGGGGAGAATTCCCAGAGGCCTCCCTTGCAAGCTCATAAGCAAATCCAGGAGGCTCCAGACTCATGTTCACTGATATCCTGGTTGTGTCGGCCATGCCCACCTCATCTTATTAAGTTCTTTTTCTTCCTTTGTATTATAGGATTTTACTTTATTTATTTATTTTTAAAAAAGATTTTATTTATTTATTTGACAGAGAGAGATCACAAGTAGGCAGAGAGGCAGGCAGGGGGGCAGGGAAGCAGACTTCCTGCTGAGCAGAGAGCTAATGTGGGGCTCCATCCCAGAACCTGGGATCATGACCTGAGCCGAAGGCAGAAGTTTAACCCACTGAGCCACCCAGGTGCCCCCAGGCTTTTATTTTTTTGTGTTTTCCCCTCTGGCTTTATTGAGATATAATTGACATACAACATTAAGTAAATGGAAGCTGCACAGCTTGATGATTTGATATATGTGTATATTGCAAAACAATTACACCAATAAGGTTACTTAACACATCCATCAGTGGCCAGAGTTACCATTTTTTATCCTGTCAAGTTCTTTAACAGTCACTGCTGTATAGGGAACAACCCAGACCTGAGTGACTTAAGATGCAACCGTCTATTTAGCTCGGGGTTGTACTGGTTGGCTATCTGGGCTAGATTCAGCTGGATTTCTTCCTGCATCAGCGGTCAACTCGGGATTGGGTAGAGGGCTTTCGGATCTTGGTTGGGTCTTTCACATGTCTGGGGAGCCTCAGTTGGGACAGCTGGGTTGCCTTGGCTCTGGGTCAAGAGATCTCTCACCTTCCAGCAGGCTAACTCAGGCTTACTCACGTGGCAGTGGAGAAGATAGAAGAATGCAAGGCTTCTTGAGGTCAGGGTCTGAAAAGGTACAGTGTGACTTCTGCTACATTCTGTTGGCCAAAGCAACAGTATCAACCCAGATTCAAGGTGGGGAAGTAGGTTCCCCCTTTTTGTGGGAGGAATTGTGAAGTGTTTGCCGGGAGGGGAGTAATTGTGACTGTTGTGGCAATTCATCTACTACTTTCTGGGTAATGTCAACATACCAAGCCCTTGAAATGGAGAAGCGGAGTGAAGTGTAGGTCTCTCAAGTGTTGCTTAGCAGGAGGGTCCCCAACACATAGCTGCTTGGGCCCCAGAGTCTCCCTGCAGTTTATGAAATAGTTCTTGGAGTTGTAACATAGAGTTTCTATCTTCCTAGGATCCCTGGTGTGTCCAGAGGGCCAAGTTGGGGGCAGAGTCGAATGACAATTCCATCTTCCTTCTGGCACTAAAACTTTGTTACTAGACCAAACCAAACATGGTTTCTTCTTTCCTTAGAATGAAAATAATCTCCCAGGAGGACTTTTTTCACCTTCCAAGCAAATAGATTTCCAGCCAGCCCACCATGCTAGTGTGCCAGACATGTCCAGATATATTTGGGTCCCAGTGGCAGACCTCGCTGAGTCTTCTCTAATTTCTATAACTCATTAGATTTTCTTTTGCAGAGTCTCTCTTCCCGGAGAGCAGAGGGAAAAAAAATGGAGTCTGAGGCAATAATTCAAATGGTCTCTCTGGTCTCCTTAGAGACTTCCCAAGTTTTTCCTGTGGTGGCACGTGAGGTGGTGCCTCTGGGTCTCCGCTAGGCCTCCCTGCAGAAAGTCTGCTCCAGATTATCCCTTGAAAGCAGAACGCTGAGGGATGATTGGCCCTATTCCTCAGTGCTCGGCTGCGGAAGCCTGCGGCTTGTGTACCTCATGGACTGGGTGCTCCGTGCTCCTTCAGAGCTCTGCAGTGCTCCCTGACTTCCCCAACAACATTAACCAATGTTCCTTCACCAGTATTCCCTCTGAGACCTCATCATGTCCTCCCATCAGTCCCTGACCAAACCTCCAGGGTCTACTTGTCCCTCTCCATGCTGGGCCTTAGATCAGATGATTCGTGTGTTCTGTGTCACAACCCCTCAGCCCACCTCTGACCCTAGCAGAACTGTGGGGCACAGCTTCATGCACAGTGACTCATCCCACCTCTAGTGACAAAGGCAGTGGCTCTGCTTTTCTGTCCCAGATGTTTCCTTGAAACACAACCAGAAGTAAGAAGAAGTAAACTTTCCTGGGAGACATCCTCAACCGGTGGGAGATGAGATAAATGCCCCAGCCCCCTGAACTTCAGAGAGGACCATTTTGAGGCACATTTTATACAGTTCCTCAGAGGGGCCCCAGAAGAATGGAGACCCAGTTGTACACCCTTTATTAGCGTCTCCTCCTGCCCTGTCTTACGTCCCTGCTTTCTGGATCAACTCGAGGTAAGTGACCTGTACCCAAGTCCTTACCTCAGATTCTGTTTTTGAGAAACTCAAACTAAGGCCCTGCAGAAAGCCCGAGACTCACAAGTTAGCTTCCTTCTGAGGCCCCTCGTCCTGGGGAGCAGGAAGGAACTTCTGCATCATGTCTGGACCACTGAGGACTTACAGGTGACTCCAGAAACTAAATCCAGGCCAGGCCCTAGCTCTGTATAACCATGGTGATCCACAAAGCTGACTTTAAAGAGGCTGCCCCGTCTCCTAGCCCAGTGCCTGAGGACAGGGGAGGAGGAGGTAGGCAGCCCATGTGGTTATCTCCTCAGAACCTCCCTTAACCCAGTGACATACCTCCTCACTCTGGTCAAAGGTCACAATCACGGAAGATGCGACCTTTCCTTCAGACTGTCTGTCTCCTCTTCTTCCTCTCTTCTCTCAGAATCCACTGGGAACTCAAGAGTGGGCTTTGGGCCTCCTACTCTTCTCTGCAGACCTTCCTTCTCCCCAGGCGTGTGGTAGAGCTCTGATCTACTGGCAAAGACTGCCCCTTTCGATGTTCTGTGGAGACATGAGGAATTTGGAAAATCATTTTCTCTTTGGCCACGCTTGACATTCCTGCCACTGCTTCGCTAAAGAGATGAGGGAAGTCGACTTTGAGACTCTGAGTCAGTCAGTGGCTTCCTCTCTCTTTAACCTTGCGCTGTCCCAATAGGGTAGCCACCAGCCACATGTGACTACGGAGCACTGAAACACAGCTGGTACTACTGAAGAACTAAATTTCAAGTTCATTTAATCTTAATTAAAATTTAAATGTAAAAACTGATATACTCAGTTCAGTTATCGGCTAACTTTAGAGTGTATCTGAAACAACTTGAGCCTGTGAATCTACTTTCTCAGATAGAGATTTTATAAAGCCTAAACTCAGATCAAGTATTTTTTAATGAAAATCTAACGTCCGAATTGAGATGTGCTGAAGTAGAAATACACACCCGATTTCAGCCTTAGTATATGACCAGAATGCAAAATACCTCATGAGTCATGTCTTTATATTGTTTACATGGTGAAAATGGTAATATTTTGAATACATTGGGTTAAGTAAAATAAATCATGAAAGTTAATTTCACTTGTTTTTTTTTTTTTTTTTTAATTTTATTTATTTATTTGACAGAAAGAGGTCACAAGTAGGCAGAGAGGCCGGCAGAGAGAGAAGGGGAAGCAGGCTCCCCGCCGAGCAGAGAGCCCGACGCGGGGCTCGATCCCAGGACCCTGAGATCATGACCTGAGCTGAAGGCAGCGGCTTAATCCACTGAGCCACCCAGGCGCCCCTCACTTGTTTTGTTTTGTTTTTAAACTATTTTCAATGTAGCTAGAAAGTTTTAATTGAGCCTGTGGCTTGCACTGTATTTCCGTTGGCCAGCCTGTGTTCTAGACAGTGCTATCTGCTGCTTCCCTGGAGCCATGTGCCTCCAGGGCCAGTCCCCAGGGGTGGATGGTGGCAAGAAAAGAAGGTTTCGAGGGTGGGCTTTCATGTAGCTGTTTAATATTTGTGAAGTATTAAACCTGTTACAGATGTATTGTCCCTATACCCACTGGAAGTATAAGAACCTTTTCCTTTCTCTTCTGTGGCTTCTGTATGGGGAAATTGATGGAAAGAAAGATGTTTTCTGGTATCTTGAATTAATCAATTTATTCACCAGCATGGAAATATAAGTAGAGGGGAATGGATTCATTTTTTTAAAAATTTTATTTATTTATTCTACAGGCAGAGATCACAAATAGGCCGCAGGCAGAGAGAGGAAAGGAAGCAGGCTCCCTGCTGGGCAGAGAGCCCGATGTGGGGCTCGATCCCAGGACCCTGGGATCATGACCTGAGCTGAAGGCAGAGACTTTAATCCACTGAGTCACCCAGGTGCCCCCTTTTTTTCTTTTTTTTTTTAAAGATTTATTTTAGACAGAAAAAGAGAGAAAGTTGGCGGGGGGAGGCTGAGGGAGAGGGAGAGAGGGAGTCTCTAGCACACTCCCCAGTGAATAGAGAACCCAACTGGGGCTTGATCCCAGGACCCAGAGATTATGAACTCAGCCAAAACCAAGAGTCTGTTGCTTAACCAACCAGACAACCAGGGGCCCCAAGGACTGGACTCTTTTAAACAGGGCCTAATGGCAGGGTCCCTGACAGCCCAGTTTGCACAAGAGTCCCCCACCCCAGCTGATTGGTCATACATAGCATGGTTACCTGACTCAACCTGGGCCAAAGAGTTGCTCTCTTGGGGGATTGAGTAAAGGCGAAGGGATTCCAGCTCCACCTGGCTGCCCATCTTCAAAAGGGGAGCTCCAAGTCCCAGTGATGTAAATGAGGGCCACCCTTTGTCATGTGTCTGGGGCCTATGGAAGGCCCATCTGTGAGCCAAGGGAAGAGCTGGCATCTCAGAGAAGACTTTCTGAGTTCCTGGAAGCCCTCCAGGCTCTGATTGTGCCTCTCATGCAGCTCTCCCCACCGTTCTGACCTCGAGGTCATAGAGAAAACACCCTGTCCTCCAAATACATTCCCGGGATGGTGTTCATCATGTTACCTACAAAGGAAAGCAGCCTACCAATACAGAGTAAGTAGTGGCTGAGGGGTAGGGGAGAATATTAATGGGAGAGCTTTGTGTTTATAGGTCAAGGGGAAAGTACAAGTAGATTTTTTTTTTTCTTTTTTCCCTACAGAAAATGCTGATCAGTGGCCTCCTTGTTCCAGGGTAGCTGACACAGTCTTGGGCACCACCCTACAGCTGCGTTTTGGGTTCAAAGGCTTTTGTGGCTGGGCTGGGAAGCACATCACCATTTATAACATTGTTTCTAAGGGAGACACATTCCAAGATCCAAACAATGAATTTAGTAAAGAATGTTTGGCTTTTAGGAGGGATGAGCAGAGCCGGCTGTATCCTGGGGGCTGGCTATGCATTAACCATTAGCTTCCCTTCCCTTTAGACAAGGAGACTCAGCCTGCAGGGCTGGGGCATGTATGGGAGGAGGGGTTTATGATAAGAGGAAGGAAATAGATAAGGGGCCCCGCAGTTGGGGTTCTCCAAGCCTTCCTCCGCACTGAGCGTCCCCATAGTCCAGGGATGGATGAGTGAGTGAGGTGAGAGGTGGACAAAGAAACTTGTATTCCTTCCCTCACGGTCACGTCTGCCCGCCCGCCTGTCCAAGGGGGCTTGCTTAGCACCTGCTCAGCTCAAACCCTTTTTGGAATAAGGCGGGGTGTTAGAAAATGAATCTGACATCCTCTGCCTGGGGAATCCAGGGCGCTCGAGGTGGGCTCTGCCGGGCGGCGTGACCATTCCCTGGGAGTGGCTGTCACAGCTTGGGGCGAGCCAAGGGGCTTGGGCCAAGACTCCATCGGCTTAAGAGGGCAGTGGCGAATGGGGTGAGGGGAGCCAGTCCATCCTCTCCACCCCTACACTTCTACCCCCGCCCCGCCACCGCCCCACCGCCAGCCCGGAAGGAGCGCTGGCAGCCTGAGCCCTGACTCGCAGGAGGGGAAGGAGGGGACGCGCAGCCCCAGCATTGTCTGGGAGGGAGGGGAGAAGCTCCGCCCCCCAGGAGGAGGGGAGGAGAGGAGGGGGATAGGGGACGGAGGGCGGGAGACGCGGGGAGGAAGAAAGGCGAGGGAAGAGGGGCGGGGGAGAGATGGAGAGCTAGAGAAAGACGGGGAGAGAGGCCGATCGGACGCGGTAGGGACGGATAAAGGCAGGGGGGCGGGATAGAGGGCGGGAGGGGCGGAGGGGAGGCGAGGAGGGCGGGGCGCCCGACCCCCAATCGCGCGGCCGCCGCCTGCGCCGCCCGGCCGGATTTGAGCCGGGCCCGCGGCTAGCAGACCCAGGCGCTGGCTGGAGCAACGCCCCCCCACCCCCGCGCAGAGGCACCCCCACTTTCCAACTCCGCGGGCGATGCAGCCGATTCAGGACGCAGGCAAGGTTCGGGGCGCGGGGCACCGGGCGCGGGATGCGGGGCGCAAGGTGCCGGGCACGGGCCGGTCCTCTCTCCCCTGCCTCCCTCCAGCCCCGCCAAAAGTTTTCCCGCGGTGTTCGCAGCCTGGTCCAGGTCAGCGCCTCAGTTTTCCCCTACCCTGGTCTCCTCTCTCCTCCCGGGGCCGCCGGGGGTTCCAGGGAGTGCGGAATCCCCGGGGGCCGCGTAGGAGCCAGCCCCTGAGCGCCCAGCTTCTGGCCGGAGAAAGTTGTGGCTCCAAGCTTGCCTTCCCTCTGCGACCCTTGGTGGTCCTTCTTCCCTCCGGCGCCCCCGCCCCAACCCCGGGGTTCTCGGGACTCCCTGGCAAGCTGGGGCCGGGCAGCAGGTGCCGGGATGGGAGGCCCGGACAGCGCTGGGAAGTGTCTGACCCCAAACGGGTCCCCATTTTCCCAGCCCAACGGACGGTTCCCCAGAGCGGGGTCCAGCACCCGGCGCGGGCAGGCGGCGCTCCCGAGGCCACTTCTGAAGGGCGCGGGGCCTCGGGGGCCCTCGCTTCTCGTGGCACTTCCCGTTGCGGTCTCCCCGTCCGCCTACCGAGCTAGCGCTGAGGTCGTTGGGGACCTCTGCTTTGCGTCCTCTCTCTCCGGAGAGGGGCAGTTTCCTTGGGCGACCCAGCCACTTCTGCATTTCTGTCGCCTGCTTTGCATTCAGCTCTTAAACTGGGAGAACCCTGGGGACAGCGCGGAGCGGCGCGGTGGCCCGACAGGGCGACGGAGGGCTTCCTCTTACTGTGGGGCTCTCTGTGGGTCCTCGTTTGTTCACCCCCCCCCCCCCCGCCACTGAGTGACAGCAGGAGCTGAGCGCTGCGCTTCTCAATGCTGCCCATACTTTATTCCCAGGTGTCCGGAATCCGGGTTCTCCCAGAGGACAGAGACCGTGACTAACGAGCGTGGGCCAGGTTTCTAGTAAGTACCTTAGTGGGATGAATGAAAATTAGACCCAGGGAGCTGCCAAGTAACAATTCATCCTGGAGTGGGACTCTGTTCCTGTCACAGCTGATCTTGGTACAATGGGAGGAAAGAATTAGAAACAATGATTCTTTTAAACAGCTGGGATTCAGAGCCTGGGGCCTGCTTTCCAGAGCATCTGGGGGAGGAATCTGGGGTTGGATTTATTCTACTTATCAGTCCACACTTAATTTACTGGGAACTTTTTCTGGAGTGGTCTTTGGAAATAAAGAAACTTCTCATGGCTAAGATATATTGGTTTTTTTGAGGGGAGGTGGGTTATTTGTTGTTGTGTGTGTGTGTGTGTGTATGTGTGTTTTAACTTGTGTCTACATGTGGTGTCCCAGGGATTAAGTGTAAGTGTGAATCAACCTGGGAGGCACCCACTTGGGATCAGAGACCCTGCAGTGGGGTCGTGAGCTGTGCTTTCTCCTCTGAACCGGGCAGCCTGGGAGCTGCTGCAGTCCTCTGGGCCCTGACAGGCTAACAGCCACATGGTGGCTGGGCTGGGAGAGGTGGGATAGTTTGGGAAAGAGGGTAGGTGGTTGTTGCCCTGGCTGGAAGGACAGGGAGTCAGAGAGGCTGCCTACCTGGGGAACCTCAGAGCGTGGGCTGGGCTGGGCTGGGCTGGGGAGGCTGGTCTATGAGTCCTGACCCCCCTTCAGAAGACGGAAGAGCAGGGGTGCCGTATATGGAGACAGGATAATCTGGCTGGGGTGTAGCCGAGCTGTATCCCATGCTCCTTGCCCTCAGTTTTGTGCTTTGAAAATCCAGTTGGAAGGAGGTGTATCTTCAGGGAGCCTGGCTGAAAGGAGGCCAGGTGACCTGGGGCCCCCAGGCATTCCCCCCTCCAGGGCAAGCCCCGGGGAATGGGTGGGAAGGGGTGCCCCTTGCCCCCAAATGTGCAGACCAGAGCATGCGTCCCTGTGCCTCGGGTGGCAGCATCCCCACCTTCATGAGCTGGGGACGGGGAGTCTCATCCTGCCCCCGGGGCTCTGGAACCCCCCCTCTCTGCATTTCTGCAGAGCTTCTGTTCTTCGTGTTCCCTTAGAAGTCACTTAGCAGGGATAGATGCCCTGCACCTGTTTTCCCTCCCTCAAGCCTTCCGTTTCTCAGCTACGCTGTCTTACCCACGAACTTTCAGTCACCCACTGGTTTTGCTTTGATTTCTTGGTCTATTTCCTGGAATCCCAGAGCCAAGCTTCGTGTCTGCCTTCTGTGCGTGAGCTGCTTAGGAATGACCAGGACACTTGGCTGGAGAGGCGCCCAGGACTGCGCTTCTGATGGTGTGCCCGTGTCTGTCCCACAGCACAGAAGAACGCTGGCCTGATGATTGCCTTCGGTTCTCCCTAAGATACTGGGGCCGGAAGTGTCCTCACTGGGAGGGAGTTTACAGGCAGGACCTGAGGACCAGAGAATCCTGCTGGGGGGCCAGGAAAGGGACTGGGACTTGCCAGGGTCTCCTCCTTTCCCCCAGGGTGAGAAACTGGGCAGGTCTCAGCAGTGTGCCTGGAACAGAACAGGAAGCCAGTCTCTGTGTTCAAGACAGAGCTGCTGAGAGCTGCTGCCACTGGGTTTCTAAAACTAGGGCAGTGGTCCCCCTCTGCCACCTCCTTGTTTCTCCCACCGCTCCTTACAGTATGGTCCAGTGATCTACCCTCATGACACACTGTCCTATTAAACACCTCCCTGCATCTCCAGAAGAATGTTAAGTGAGTCCTTAAGATAGGGTCAGCTCCTGCAGACCTGTGATTGCTGGTTTCATTTCTTTGGCCTACTTGTGGGTTCCCGTGGAGGGCATGTGTGTGTGAGGTTGGAGGGAGAGGGTAGGGCAGGAGGCACAGGGGAATCGGGGCACAGTAAATGGGGACATCCTCCAGACTCGGCTGGCAGGGCATCTAGTGGGTTATTTGGGATCGTCCCTGGGGTGGCAGATGGAGCCTGGAGCCTATAATCGGCTGATGAATCTGCTTGGGATGACTTTGAGGCTGTAGGACTCTGCCCAGGCCAGCTGTGGCTGATTCCGAGAGGGAAACCTTATGCCCAAGAAGGGGGCAGTGAAAGGGTCTTGGCTAATTCCCGTGGGATGAGCAAAGTGACATAGAAGGGCTTTCCCCTGGTCATCCCATTGATAAAACTTGACAAAAAGATACCCTTGCTCCCTTGGACATCCCAACCCAAAGTGATTTGGCAAAGTGGGTTTATTTCACCAGCATGGCGCTCTCCCCATGGCTGGCATGCACTTCAATATTTGGTTAACTGCTCATTTCTAAAAGAGGAATGCAGTGTTGGATTTGGGGTTTGAATGGGATTTGACCGCTTCCAGCTCGATGATATTGGGCAACGTAATAGATGCTCTCAGCATCCTTCCTGTGTTCCCTTGGCCTCAGCCAGTGACCGATGAAAGCTCCCTCACTTCTCTGCTGGGGTGGCATGGGGGCATGTGCTATACTGTGTCTTAGAGTCGCCTAGTAACTGGTCCCCTTCACTGGCTGCTGTCCCTTCCCTGTTTCCCTTTCCAGCCCCCTTCGACTTGTACCCGGATCCCTGTTTTAGGGTCAACTTCTGAGGGAAAGCAACTGAGGATGGGTTTCAGGCCGCAGTCAAGCAGTCATGTAAAGCCTCTTAGCCTCAGTTTCCCCAGCTGTAAGATGGCAGTTATAACTGTCTCCCGGTCATACTGTGATGCCCATTCAGAGGAGAGCCTGGCACACAGCAAACATTCAGGCAGCCACGGGCCGCTCATTGATCAAGATGGAAGGGGCCATGGAGGTTCTGGGAGCGGGCATTATGATGGCTCATGAATGGCCAGTTATAACGCCTTGGTGGAGAGAGGCTATTCTTCAGCTAGGTGAGAAAGCTGAGTGCACCTGCTCATGGCTGTCACATTTAGGCTGTGACCGGTGATAGATGCTGAACAGCCGCTTGGGTGGCACTGGGCCATCCTGGAGTTCTGCTGTGGTCTTTCCTGTTGCCAAGGGGAATTCAGCCCAGCCACCTTCTGCCTTCCTGGTATAATGGTTTCTCTTCATGACACAGGCGTGTTGTGTCCCCTGAGGAGGGGACTGGTTTCTTATGGGAAGGACAGTCCCTACTTTCCTGAACTGCTATGCCATGCCACAGACACCCAAGTGAGAGCCCAGAAAATTCTACATGGCGAAAAAGACCTTTGTGTGGCAGAATTCGACATCCCTGCTGTGATTTTTATCCCCAAAGCTCTGTGGACAGTCCTGCTGAGGGAGTCCCGGACTCCGCGGTGGCCCTGGTGGGAAATCTTATCCTAGGGATGTAATTAGGCAAGTGCAGAAAAATATGTGCACAGGGGTGTCCCTTGCAGCATTCTTTGTAATAATAACCACCGAAATGGAGAGTAAACCCCAACAAAAGCAAACGTGTTAATTCTGGTCCAGGTAGCCCTGGCTTTTCCAAAGTTGTTTGCCTTAGGCTGCTTGGTTGTTTTTTGTTTTTGTTTTAAAGATTTTATTTATTTATTTGACAGAGAGAAAAATCACAAGTAGGCAGAGGGGCAGGCAGAGAGAGAGTGGGAAGCAGGCTCCCCACCAAGCAGAGAGCCTGATGTAGGGCTTGATTCAGGACCTTGAGATCACGACCTCAGCCGAAGGCAGAGGCTTTAACCCACTGAGCCACCCAGGCACCCTGGCTGCTTGGTTTTTAAGAAGAATCTACATTAGTACCTGTTTTGTTAACAGAAAGAAATCCAAAGAGGATTTTCATTTTCTTAAATTTATTTATTTATCAGAGAGAGAGAGAGAGCACACAAGCAGAGGGAGCTGCAGAAGGAGAGGCAGAAGCAGGCTCCCCACTAAGCAGGGAGCCTAATCTGATGCATGACTGGATCCCAGGATCCCGGGATCATGACCTGAGCTGAAAGCAGATGCTTAGCCGACTGAGCCACCCAGGCATCCCAGGATTTTTGTTTTTATGAAAAAAAGGCAAAAAGCATAAGTAGCACTCAGCATTTGTTCTGCAGTGAGCCCTTATGGAGGCTGTACCCACCCCCCACCCCACCCCCGAGCTGAGACTGGCCCCGCCGAGCTCCTTCCCTGGGACCTACTCTCAGCATCTCACCGTCTCAGCATCAAGCCAACGCCGGAGCTTTGAACTGTGTCTGTGAGCATCTGTGCTTTGTCTTGATTTATTTTGTGTTATCTGTTAGCAAGATGTGTCCCAAAGGTATCAGAAAAACCTAAATGAGGTTATGTTTGGGTCTGGGAACGCTAACACATTTTCCCATATAGATTAATGGTAATTGATTCTTTGCTTTAGGTCATTTTGGCTCACGAAAAGGTTCATAGGAGCTCTCTGCTTTTGGGTGGCAGGGAACACCTCCATATATAAGCACTATAATACCATGGGGCTGTAAAAAATACAGGGAAGTGATGTGCATCTATTACTGTGGAAATATATGATATTTCTCAAAAGCAAGTTACCCAACTGTGCTCATTGCAAAATATATCCTCCCCTCCATTTTATATTTGTCTCTGGAAGGATGTGCAGGCAAATGTTCGCAGTGATTGTCTCTGCGTGGTGGAATTTCGGGGAGATACTGATCTTAGTCTTTTTTTAAGTTAAATATTTTTGTTTTTGATGATGGTAAAATATATGTAATGGAAAATTTGTCCTTTTCAGCATTTTTAAGTGTGGAATTCAAGGGCTGTGCAGTTTCTTGTCAGAGGATGCCACAGACTGAATGAGTTGAAAACCCCAGAAATGACTTTCTCGAAGTTCTGGAGGCTGGAAGTGTGGATTAGGGTGCCCGCAGAGGTGGGCGAGAGGCTGTTCTAGATCTCAGACTTCTCGTTATACTTTCATGTGGCAGGAAGGATGGGGGAGCTCCATGGGGTCTCTGAGAAGGGCACTAATCCCCTTTGGGGATTAGTCATCCCCGTGAGTCATGCCCAAAGGCCCCGCTTCCTAATCCAGGCCATTCTGGGTTAAGATTTCAACGTAAGAATTTGGCGGGACCCAAATGTTCCAACGACAACAGTGACATTATGTATACTCCCAGTGTTGTACGACCATCACCAGACTCCCTTTCCAGAGCTCTTCCGTTGTCCCAGAGACCCTGTACCCATCAGCTGTCAACTTCCCATTCCCGACCTGAGAGCCCCTGGCACCCTCAGTTCCATGTATTGCCTTTGTGAATTTGCCTGTCCTAGGGATGGCATAGAACTGGAATCATTCAATAATCTTTGTGCTTCCCTATATTTGTCAAAGAAATAGAAATGTTTTACGTAACAAGGAATGAAAGAGCCCCGTGAGAGAGTGGCGGTGTTTTGTTCCTGGGGGTTTCGTTTCAGGCAGGGCCACGAGGTCCTGGTCCTGGCCATCCATCCCAACCCTGCCATCTTCCTCCGGGGTGGGGGACAGGCTCTGACCTCCCCGTCGGCCTGGGGGAGCCAAGGGCAGGTGGCCAGGCACTGACGAATGCAGCGCCCCTGGCCTTGGAGCTGACCGCAGGTGTGGCTTGCTGGTTGCTGGCAGCTGGGCCTCAGGCCCCAGATGGTGGCTTCTGTGGTGGGTTTGAGTGAGTGTGCTTGGGGTTCACTGTGCCTTGAACCTCAGAGCCGTCTTGCAGTGAGAAAGGTCCAAACCTGCTAGAGGTGGGTTATTGGGACCATCCTTCATGAAGGCTGAGAATGACAGCCTCCTCATTTCAATTTCAAGCATCCTCTGTGTGTGTTCCAGATCCCGGGGCTGAACTTGACCTGCCAGCTCCCCACCATCACCTGTTAAATTGCCACCATGGTGGCTGGGGGTATGGCTGTTGAATGTTCTGTCAGCAGGTGGGGTGGGCAGGCTGGTGTGCAGCAGGGGCATTAGCTGGTGGGGTTTGTGAGGCCCCAAGTGCTCCGGAGAGATGGGTGATGGCCTTAGGTGGGCGGAGCCCTCTTCCTGAAGCTCCATATGGAACTTCACAGTTGATCACTCAGACATTTGGGACAAGGATGGCTCTCTTGTGCATGTGACAAGGTAGTCAGGGACGTGGTGCAGTGGGGTGGGGAGCAGGGAAGATGGTGTGTCGACTCTGAGGTGAAAGGGGTCAGGAAGCTTCGGGACCCAGAACTGGGAAACCAGGTCATGTGGCCCTGTTTAGGCGTCATGGGAGTGGATCAAGTGGCTTTTCAATGGGACACCTTGTTCTGTGTGAAAAGCTTTAAGTTCCTTGGTAAGTGAGCTCCCAGAAGGCCTGTCGGGCTTTCCAGAGAGTCAGTGAGAGGATTTAGGTGTGGGAGGGACAGACTTGCCCACTGAACTCTGGAAGTTTCTTTACCTGGTTCTGCCTGTCTTCTCTCTGCCCAGTGGGAGGCTGCTCTTTTAATCCTGGGCAGTTGGGGGAGTGTAAAGATTTTACAGAGATGGCCTTTGAAGCCCATCTTGAGGAGAGGTTCTGTGTTGCACGGTGCTGATTTTTCTTCAGGGTTAGTCAGCTGGTAGCAGAGCAGGCAGAGGAGGGTAGGAACGTGGTTTTGTGGAAAACTCCCCCTGTCAGCCTCCTGGAAATGCTCTGGAAACCCCCAGATGAGCCGTCTTCCTGGTACTCGGAAGGATCTGAGATCTGTTGTGTGAGGGTGAATTTTTCCACACACGGGGTATTAAGGAGGTGAAAGGAGGTCCCCCTCCAGTAGCTGCCCCAGGGGAGGGCTCTTCCTTTGCTCTCCCTTCTTTACTGTTTCTGAAATGCCAGGTACCTGCCCATCTTGGCAAGGGTGGGGGGAGAGGTGGTAGGGAGCATGGAGGAAGCCCATGATCCTGGCTCTCGGGTGCTCAATCCTGGCCGCAGGTAGTGAGGAGCAGAACCCCCAAGATCTCTGCATACAAAGCTCAGCCTTAGCTTCTAGCACCAAAAAAGGAAGAGCTGCTGGGGTTCCCTGAGGAAGGGGAAGTGAGGTCAGAGATGAGTCTCAGAGAAATCGCTCAGTAAACAGGAAGAATGACCAGAAAGAAACCTGTGCTTGTAGGAAATGGGGAGCTGGAGGCTGCCCATCCTCACCTGCCCCGATAGGTCAGCACATCCCCGCATAGCGGAGACTAACCACAGACAGCGAGCGGGGGCTCCAGGCCTCAGGCCCTCCCTGTGGGACAGGCTCCACCTAAATCCCATAATTATCAGGTGGTGGAAAGCTTAATTTACCCTTCCTGGTAGCACATGAAATTACCCTATAAAATAGACCTTGGTTTTGAGAGATGCAGGTCAAGGAATGTTTCATCTTCCTTCCCTTATTAGGGCCAGGGTGGCCTCTTGCTGACTTCCCACTTTTTCCTCAGGCTACCTCAGCTACACAGAAGTTGGCACGTTGCTGAATCCTAGCCTGTGAGGGGCTAATCTTGGCAAGACCCCTCTGGTGGGTGGTGATGAAGGGGTTGCTTTAGGGAAGCAGGAGGATCTGTCGAATTGAAAGGTTGGCTTTCTAGATCTCTGGTTCCTCCGAGCCAGAGTCTAAATTCTACATGCGCGCGCGCACACACACACACACACACACACAGAGCATTTTCTGTCTGGAGTTTTTACTTCCTTAATGCCTTTTTTTTCATCCTGCTCCAACACCCTGGTTCTCTGATACAAGATTAAGGGACTTTGGGTTTCCTCCTAAACATCCAGAAGGTCAAAATCTTGCAGACACTGGTGGGACTTTCCTATAAGCAAGTAGTTGCTCATCTGGGCCTCTGAGGTGATTGTTTGGGTGAGTCGCAGTGGTGACCTTCCAGGTCACTCACCTGGCCACCCGCCCGCTGGTGTGGAAGGGGAGGCAGGCCCTTCTGGCAGGAATCCCAGGACCGTTTCCTCAGATCTGCCCTAGCCGCACTGGGGACTCAGCCTTGTGTACAGAAGGCCTGAGCAGAGTGGGCTGGGGTCCCATTTGGTGGCAGAAAGAGCAGGGGCTTCTTAGGTCAAGCTGCTGGTGGGGAGCCCAGTGTGGCTGGAATCTCAGCTCCTCACCGGAGAGGGTGGGCCAGGCAGGGGCTGCCTCTGGGGATGGGAGCCATGTTTCCTGTCAGCAGGGGCCTCACACCTGTCTTCAGTCAGGGCCCCCAGCTTTTTCCGGGTTGGGGGAGCCAGTGGTTTTGGGATCCATGAGGTGAGGGGTAGCTATTCTTTGGACAGAGTGTAGATGTGACTTAGGGTCTGTGGCAGGTGCCCAGGTCCCTGGCTGAGGTCTCTATCCTTGGCCCCTGCAGGGTCTGCTCTGTCCGTCCAGCTATTTACTCACTGCCCCCCTTTCCCCCTGGGCCTGCTGTGGCTGTCAGGGGAAGCCCCCCATACCCAGCGCTTAGCCAGGGCACCACAGAAGGAGCTCTGGGCTTCATGTCAACTCTGTGACCTGGAACGAGTTGCCTAACCTCTAGGACCTTCTGTTTCCTCATCTGTAAATAGTGAAAATAAAGCCTTCCCAGTGGGTTCTTTCTTGTAAGAAAGAAGATAAAGCTTCTAGAGCCCTGTTACCGGCAAGGCTGGCATCACTGGGGAGTTGGCTTGTTAGGAATGCACGTCCTCAGACCCTATCCAGAAGGACTGAATCAGTAGCTGGGGGTGGGGGGTGGGGGGTGGGGGAAAGGAATCTGTACTGAATGAGCCCTCCAGAGCCTTCTGGTCCACACTCCAGTGTGAGAACCCCTCCTCTAGGGTACCGCTGGCTCAGTTGAGTTTTAGCTGAAACTCTTTTTTCCCCTTCACCTCAAGAGGGTTCTGCTTTGCCAGAACTCACACAGTTCCAGGTTTGACCCCCACCCCTCTCCTGGCTGTGTACTTGGGGACCAGTGACTTCGCTTCTTTGTGCCTCATTTGCTTCATCTGCAAAATGGGGATATTGAGGTTTCTCCATGAAGTCGTTGTGGGGATGAAATGAGCCAAAGCAGATACTAGGTGGCCCACAGTGAACTTTCTTTTATGGTAGCTGCCTATGATTCACATCTGGTGTCTTGTTATTAGCCTAATAATAATAGTGTGATTGTTCTGTTCTCGACTGATGGAAACAGGCATCAAGGTGCCTCCGGAGACCTGTCTTCTGCTAGTTCTCCTGACTAAGCCCTTTTCCACATGCCCACCTCTTACCAAATACCTTCCACTTCCCCTTTCGTGATGCTTAGCATGCTTTTGGGGTGGGGACTGAATGAAAGCCTGTATTCACAGTCAGATGGAAAGCTGAGAGAGTGCCGTCCGTACACTCAAGACATTTGACCTTAGTTCCCGCTTTGGTGGTGTTTGGTGCCAGACTCTTTCCTGAGCTGAGTGACTGGGATAGCCCTGTGGGTAGGTCACCGGGGGCCTCTAGGCCTGGAAAAGGGGACAGAGGTGGTACATTCAGGGAAGGGAGGGTCAGTAAGGTGAACAGGCCCCAGAGAGGACCCAGGCTTGGCCAGTAAGTGGCTTTTTATTGAATAAAGGTGGAAGGCAAGGTGAGCTGCTTGCTTCCCGGGCAGCCAGAATTTTGCCCATTCTGGGACAGGTTCAGGTTCAGGAACCAGGTGGTGGAATCTCTGGTAATCTCTAGAACTTGGCAGGGTCCCAGGCCACAACTCTAGTCTCCTTCCTTGGGTGGCGCAATAGGGCTGGGGTTTCCTGTTTGCCATCGACACTTCTTCCTGCCCCTCTAAAAGGGGCTGAAGTCCACAGGGGTCAGCCCGATCTCCTCTGTTACCCCTGCTTGGTTACAAAGCAGAGTCCCTTAGGAGACCTGACGAGACTGTCTTTAACACTATAGTATGAAGCACTGTGCAGGAGAATTTTCTACTCCAGCCCAGGAGCTCTAGATCATCCCCCTGGGGAGGAGGGCAGGGCAGGACTCAGAGAAGAGGTGGGGACAGGCCCCAAAAGGGGAAGCTGTGGGCCTCCAGTGAGTATTTCCTTTGTTTCTGGGGCCCAGGGCTGACTTCCTGCCCTTTCTGCTCTGGTGCTCTAGTTTTCGTGTTGCGGGGCCCTTTGCGTCAACTCACTCTGTCCCTGCCTACACCCACCCTTTGGGATGCTCTATGCCGCCCTCTCTTCCCTGCTGAGATATTAGTAATGGGGAGGGGGGTGCTGAAGACCCGACTCAGTTGGTTTTCAGAAAATTCTATTCCTTCCATTCCTGAAAGGCTGTTTTGAGACGCATTGAGTGGTGTCCTCAGTCTACTCAGCTCTGTCCCTATCAGATTTCTAGGTCGTTCTCAGCTCTGGTTGTACATCGGCACCCCCTGGGGAAGGCTATAAAAATGCTCATACCTGGGCCCCTTTCAGTGGTTTTGATGTCATTGGGATGAGGGGCAGCCTGGACATGGGGAATTTAAATCAACCCTGCTTACCCCCCTCTCCTCCTACCTTGCTGTCCTCACTCAGGGAGAGTCTCAGGAGCACCTACAATCAGAACCTCTGAGCTGCTATGTGTCTCAAGGCCAGCTGCTTCTCCTTCCTGCTTTGGTTTCCGCTGTGGCCTCGCAGATGGCACGTCCCTCTCATCGGTCAGATGGGAGCTCTCTGGGGTTTGCCCCTCTGGGCATTCTCTGTGGAAAGCCCTCCCATCCCCTAGCCTGTCTCACTCTCCTCGCTGTCCTGTCTTAGAGACTGGGACTGCCTGGGTCCTGTTAATGGGCAGTGGCCACCCACCCACTCCCATCCTGCCCCAGCTGCCGAGGTCAAGGCTGGCTCCCACTTTGCCACCAGGAAGACAGTGTAGGAAATGAAGTGGATTCTTCATCTCCTCCGGGCTCTCCTGCCAAGGCCGGGGTTGCCAGCCTTTCTGTTCTGCCTTTGCCCTTCTCCCTCTGGGGACCTTCCAGTGACTCAATAAGATGAGACACACGTGATCCATAGGGTGGAACAGAAACTGCAGGGCTTAGCCAGCGTCCCAGGGAGGCTCTGAGGCCAGATGAACCTCAGCATGTTTTCTAGGTGCCTGGCAGAACGGGAGTGAGGGCCCTGGGCTTTGGAGGAACCAAGAGTTAACAGATTTTGCTCCCTTGAAGAGAGCTTTGGATGCTTTCTCTCCCTCCTGGAGCAAGCTGAAGGCTTGATGTTTGCCTTCCTCATAGGAAGGCGAGCTGGTGACTTTCAACGGCTTGCACGGTCCCTCATTTATTCTTGGGGAAGCTGGAGACACCTGTGCAAGGGCAGGTCTGTGAAGAGGAAGATGAAGGGACCCTTTGTGCCACAGCTGCAGGGCTGTGATTGGTTCAGAGCTCTGGCAAGTGTCTGTCCCCAGACACACTGAGGCTGCACCTCAGCCTCACAGTGCACCTGGCCAGCTTGGGGGGGTGGGGTGTGGGCAGCTGCTTCCTCCCTGCTGGATGGCAGGTGGGAGAAAGGGGATTCCTGCTGTGTCTTAGTGGCTCCCTTGTCCTCAGATGGGTTCTTGCAGAGCTGTGTGTGGGAGCTCACCCCTCCTCCCAGGATGGCTCTCAGCTGACGATGGACTAGCACAGGGGTAGAGGCCAGCCTGCCTGTTCAAGTCCTTGGGGCCCTTCACACTCTGGAGCTCCCATGGGATCAGACTGTGCCTGGGCTCCAGCTGAATGAATCTGGTCACCCAGCTCCTTCCCTGGCCTGGTCCTGCTTCCCTCACTTGCTGACAGGATTCTCTTGAGAACACGTCCTCATTAACTCATGTGTCCAAAAATCCTTGTATGGGGCCCTGCTTCTGGAAATCCTCTTACCTAGGACAGCAGGAATCCACTCCCTCCCTTGAAAAAATGATGATCATGAGAAGATTCACAGGAGAGAATCATAGGCTGGGGGCTGGGGTCCAGAAAGGGGAAGCTCAAGCCCAGGAGGGGAAAGCAACACCAGATGGATGATTTATGGGTGGTGGCAAGTGCTGTGAGGAGCTGGCTGAGGTATGAGCGCCTGTCCCCCAGCACTGCCCAGGGGCAGGGAAGATACTTTGAAGGGGGAGCTAAGTTTTGGATCAGGGTCTAGGGACCACGTGAGTTTGCTTGGGTCTGTAGAGGAGCATGGACACACTCACGGAGCTTGAAGAGCAGGCCTAGAAAGTTCTCTGTGGCTGGGATGTCATCATCTCCAATGGCTGAGGAAACTTCCAGTTTTCAAAACGTTCTCTTGGATTTTAGGAAAGGTTGTACAAGCAGGATGTAATGGATGGGTCTTTCCAACTACCACTAGCAAGGTTCATGGTACTGCCCAGGCATTTGATGGAGCTGAAGAGAACCTAGAAGATTCTGCCAGGGTGTGAAGTCCAGGTCAGAAGGAAGGACTGATTACTTGGTGGCCCCATTGGGTCTCCAATGTGACTGAGCCCCTCCTGTCCCAACGTGGCAGGCCCAATGATACACGCACCTCCAGACCTTTCAGCAGACGTGCTTCAATATACATTTTACCTCTTAAAGTCTTTCTACAG